GAATTTTTTTTTTCTGGCGAATTTTCATGAGTCAACCCATCCTTCTGGACTAATAAAGTTCTGTTCATGTATGATCCTGTGTCTTTGTAATAAGAAGCAGAACTTTTTCCGCCGCCACGAAAAAACTGGTGTCTTTCATAACCATCGGTTGTACTCCTCGGAAGCTCAAAACACGAAGTGTTGTCTGGTCGGACACACAAAATGCACTCGGAGTGATAGAAAACAACACGGAGGGACAGGGAAGGGAGGCGCGAAACAAGCGAAGCGACGACCATCAATCAGCCGCCGACGGGCCGCCGACAGTCAAGCCAACCAGTCAAGCCGCCCCGAATTCCGCCGCTCTGTTTTGTCGGCCCGGATTATGAGATCCGGCAGAGCTGCTCTCATCCATCACCCGCATGACGACGACGACGGCCCGCGGGCAATTCCAATTCGTATTCATGGGCAGCCATTTGTATGGTCCAGGCTTGGTCCGGGCCGGCCCGGGCTTGTGTCTAAATCTTGCCCGAGCTAGAGCCAGTCCAGGCTTCGAAGGGATCAGAAAAGTCCCAACTCTGAACTTTCTACGGAAAATTCTTTTTACTCGTAAAATAATGACTTTTGTTCGATTAAAAGTGAAAAAAGGATCGAAGACGTGATTTTTGTCAGAAAAAGTCTGATATTTGACTTGAAGAAAATTTGAGCTTGTTTGCTTTTTCCTGGAGGTCCTTGCTAAACGCGGGCAGGCCCGGGGACGATAGGTTGGCGGGTCTGCCCGCGCAGAAGCCCAGTATGATCAACAGCTGATAGTGTGTGAAGAATAGAAGATTCTGTAGAAAATTTTAAAAAGTTATTTGAAAAATATTCGATTTGAATTGGCTCTAGCTGATCTCAGGACTTCACAAATCAAGCTTGAAGTCTTAAATCTTTATTATAGTCTGTGTGCCACGACTTGAAATTCCACGGAACGACATTCCGCTGTTCCGCTGCGTGCGTTCGCGAAGCGTCTTTCGAAATTAGGTCACGATTTCAATTGATTGTTATTGCTGTGGGAGCATATGAAAGTAGAGTACCTTAATAAAAAAAAAAAAATCAAAAGCGCGACCAAGGTTCGCAAAGGCGCGCAGCGGCACTGCGGAATGTCGTTTGGTGAAATTTCAAGTCGTGGTACACAGGCTATAAATCCAACCGAATTCATGAAAAAACCAAGATTTTCCAAGATCGACAAGAGAATTCTTTTTGAACAAAATCTACAAGTTTCAAGCGTTTTTCAAACTTTCACTGGTTTGGGAAGCTCTAGGAATTATTAAAAATCTCGAAATCGGCTCCGAATTCGAATTTCCCTTTCTCAAATTAGTTCACAACTGCCCCAATAGCCTTTATTTTTTATCATATAAGAACCCCCCAAATCGAAAAACTCCCCCGCCGCAACTTTATATAAGAGAATCTGAAGATCTGCGAGAAGATAAAATCGATCACGAGACTGCAACAAGGAAAAAAAAATGTCCAGTGGTCGATTCATCACCGGCCGTCGGTATCCGAAGGACCCTGTAATTTTTCTTCAATCCTCCGCTTTTTATCTTTTTCTCCCCCGTGTCTTACAACTGTTCGACGGGATTGCTCGATTTATCTTCCACAGTTTGTTGAGAGACGATGGATCGGGTTGAGCTCGAGCTGAGCTCACAAAACTAGCATCAAATCCTGAACGTTTAATGAAAAAAGCATAAATCATACTTTCAGGGGTCTTTGTAAAAAACTAACTTTCTGAATATTCCCAAGACCTTTCTGAGCAATGAGAGAAAATGCTACAGATATCCTTTGAATTATAAATTTTTTTCAAAACT